AAAGTCTTTGACTGTAGATCACAACAAACTGGAAAATTCTTAAAGAGATGGGAATACTAGACCACCTTATCTGCCTCCTGAGAAATCTGTATGCAGGTCAAGAAACAAGTTAGAACTGGACATGGAACAACAGACTGGTTCCAAATTGGGAAAGGAGTACGTCAAGGCTGTATTTTGTCACCCTGCTTATTTAACTTATATACAGAATATATCGTGTGAAATGGCTGGGCTGGACAAAGCACAAGCTGGAATCAAGGCTTCCAGGAGAAATTATCAATAACCTCAGATACGCAGATGACACCACCCTTATGGCAGAAAGTAAAGAAACTGAGGAACTTCTTGATAAAAGTGAAAGAGGAGGGTGCAAAAGCTGGCTTAAAACTCAATATTAAAAACTATTATCGTAGCATCCAGTCCCATCACTTCATGGTAAATAGATGGGGAAACAATGGAAACAGTGACAGACTATCTTGGGGGGCTCCAAGATCACTGCAGATGGTGACTGTAGCCATGAAATTAAAAGATGCTTGCTCCTTGGAAGAAAAGCTATGACCAACCTAGACAGCATATTCAAAAGCAGAGACATTACTTTGTCAACAAAGGTCCGTCTAGTCAAGGCTATGGTTTTTCCAGTAGTCATGTATGGATGTGAAAGTTGGACTATAAAGAAAGCTGAATGCCAAAGAATTGATGTATTTGAACTGTGGTGTTGGAGAAGACTCTTGAGAGTCCCTTCGACTGCAAAAAGATCAAATCATCAATCCTAAAGGAAATCAGTCTGAAAAAAGTTCATTGGAAGGACTGATGTTGAATCTGAAACTCCAATACTTCGGTCACCTGATGCGAAGAACTGAGTCACTGGAAAAGACCCTCATGCTGGGAAGGACTGAAGGCAGGAGGAGAAGGGGACGACAGAGAGTGAGATGGTTGGATGGCATCACCGACTTGATGGACATGGATTTGAGCAAGCTCCAGGAGTTGATGCTAGTCAGGGAAGCCTGGAGTGCTGCAGTTCATGGGGTTGCAAAGAGTTGGACATGACTGAGTGACTTTACTGATTACAGATCATAACTAGAACATGAAAGTTGCTGACTTCTGGCATATCATTGACAACCTACCTTTTCCTTTGAATCAGGGTTCAAGTACTGTTCACAATTTGGGGGGAGGAGCCATCTCCTACTCCTTTTTCTTCATGTAATTCATTTGTTGGAGGAGCCAGGTTATTGGTCCTGTAGAATGTCAACATTTGGCTGTCTGCCTCTTTATGTGTCCTTTAATTGGTCCTCTATTGCTATAAAGTAATATTTACATCCAGTAGCTTGACCAGATTCAGGTTTAATATTTTAGGAATGGATGATGTGTATCCTGTTCCATTACAATCAGAAGGCTTATATCTGGTTGTCTAACTTTTGCTCTAGTCATTTGTCTGTGAAGAAAACTATGCCGTTCCTTTGCTTAAAACTGACAGCTGGTATTTCAGTGTTAGCTGCTTCACATATGTGATGCCTTCCTTGATACGGCCTTTGTTGTGTGCTTCGTAGTTCTGATACGTTGAAGTGACTGCAGTTTCACTGTTTGATGCCTTTGCTTCCACTGTTTTCTTTGCCAGCAGTCTCATCCCTTGTCTCCTGATTGAAGTTCAGTGGATTCAGGAGGGGTCAGCCTCAACCCTGCATTTGAAATTACCCATTTATTAGCATGTCACCTAGCGATTTTAGCATTTCACTGATGGTTGTTACCCTGACCTGTTTCAATTAATGGTGGTTTTCTAAATTCCATGACTTTTTCTGCATTAGATGGAATTTTTCTGTAAGGAACTTAATTTTATTTTCCTGAAATAAGTCTCTTAAAGACTGGATATACATACATGATTTTCTATTAGTTTTTAAAGTTGGTGCTATAGCAACTTCCAAAGGTAACATGATTTTTCACTATCATTATGATAGTGACAATTTTACACTTTCTGTGTATTTGTTTCAGTCCCCTCCATACATGATTTTGATGCTCAAAATAATCCTTTCACTCTTGGGTCCTATAACCTGTTAATTTGGTACAGGGTATTTGATAGTTCCTTTGCTTTCTGGCATAAGATAACCCAGGTTTACCTTGTCTATTTCCTGCCTCATACTTTTTTTTAAGGGTCCATTTTTTAGTAGGAAATGTTGGTAGACTATATGTGAGCCCTTAAGGTGCTGCTCATTGCTATTGAATTCTGAATTATCAGTGCTTTTAGGCCCTTTTGGTGGCAATTGCTAGGAGATGTGTACTTTTATACTGGTAAATTTATACTGATTTTATACTGTAAAAAATCTTAAATTCCTAATGACATCAATCTAATTATTACTGTCATTACATAATACGTAAATATGGTTTCAATGTACTACCAATTTTACTACTAATAGTAATGATTGCATTATGACTTGTGTGGGGTCTTTTGTCCCTAGAAAATAGACAAAACACTATATTCTAAGGTCACTTGAAAGTAGTATAACACTATGTATTTTGTTTACAAATGTTAGGGTTTTTCTTTTCTTTTTAAAAATATTGAAGTATAGTTAGTTGACTTACAGTGTGGTTAACTTCAGTGTACAGCAAAGTGATTCACATAAATATGTATTCCTTTCCAGATTTTTTTCCATTATAGGTTGAGAGATACTGAATATTTTGTGTATGTGAGGAAGTGTTTCCAACTTCATGGATTTACATGCAACTGTTCAGCTTTCCCAACACCACTTGCAGAAGAGGCTTTTCCTCCATTACATAGTCTTGCCTCCTTTATTGAAGATAACTGACCACAGGTTTGTGGGTTTATTTTTGGCCTTTCCGTTCCCTTGAGCTGATCTATGTCTGTTTTTGTGCCAACACCATACTATTTTGCCTAGTGTAGCTTTGTAGTATTGTCTGAAGTCCAGGAGGGTTATGCCTCCAGCTTTGTTTTTTCCTCCTAAGGATTGCATTGATAGTTCTGGATCTTCTGTGGTTCTATGTAAGTTTTAGGATTACTTGTTCTAGTTCTGTAAAAAATGTAATGGGTACATTGATTGCATTAAACCTGTAGATTGCTTTGGGTAGTATGGCCATTTTAACTAATTCTTCTAATCGAACAACATGGCATTTGTTTCTTTGAATCACCTTCTATATCCTTTATCAGTTCATTATAGTTTTCAGCATGCATTTCACTTTCTTGATTAGATTCCTTCCTGAAGTGAAAATCGCTCAGTCCTGTCCAACTCTTTGCGACCCCATGGACCATAGAGTCCGTGGAACTGTCCAAGGAAGAGTACTGCCTTCACCAGGCAGTCTTTCCAACTGGAGATCAAACCCAAGTCTCTTGCATTGCAGGCTCTTTACCAGCTGAGCCACCAAGTTCATTCCTAAGGTACTTTGTTTTGATCATGATTTTTTTTAATTGAAATGTAGTTGATTTATTCAATAATGTTTCAGGTGTACCACAGTGATTCAGCTATACATATACACATATATATGTGTATTTTTTCAGATTCTTGTCCATGATAGGTTTTTATACTGTACAATTCCCTTCACTTGGGCTAGGAAGTGCAGAGGTGGCATGACCCTCCGTGCTGATCTCTTTTTTTTTCCCTGCCTGCCACAACCTAGGTGCTGCACCCTCCTTTGAGCCTCTGAGGCTCTTTCCCAGCTGACCTTTCAGCTGGTGAAGGATCCCAGGGTGAGGAAACTGGTCACGGCTCAGGGGCACAGGTCTCACCGATTCTTGTTTCATCCTACCCAGCTCGTGGTGATATTTCTTGCCACTTTGGTTCTATGAGACCTTTTGCCAGTGTTCAGTGGGCATTTGGTGAGAATTATTCTTTAGGTGGGTGTGTTTTCATTGTATTTGTATGAGTGAGTTCTGCCATCTTGATCTGTCCCCAGGTTTCTAGGTTTTAAATTCTTAAATTTCAGGTGGTCAAAACAATGGAAAAAGGTACAGGATTGCTCCCATCCCATCTGTTTTCTTTCCCTATTGGTGGCCATTTTTATTAGTTTTTTCTTCCATTGTCTATTTACATGCAAATATATATATTATGTATTCACATTTCTCACCCTTGCTGACAGTAAGGTAGGTTTAACAGAAACATTCTGCACTTTGCTTTTCCACTTACTGTATCCTGGCTGATCACTGTATATCAGTATATGGAAACAATCTTCATTTTTTTGGTGACTATCAGTACTTTCTGTGTAGATGTTTCAAAGTACTAGTTTACTCATCCACTCCCCTATGAACTGACATTTGGGTGTCTTTCTTATCTTGTGTATACCTCAGTATCACTCCAAATTTTTGCCAGGGTTATCTTTGGGAAAGGGCCTAGTAGAATTGAGAGAGGATAAATACATATATAATTCTGGTAAATACTACCAAGTATTCCTCTATACAAGTTTTAAGTTTCTCAACCTCTTTATTCCATTACCATGTATGTGTTGCCCCATACTGTAACAGTCAGTATGTTTTAAACTGTTTTAAAATTATTTCTCTTCTTAACAAGGTATTTTTGTATGTTAAAGGTCACTTACATTCCTTTTTATAAGGAAATGTTAATAATTTTAGAATTCTTCCAATGTTTGGTTATTGTGGAGATTTTGCATCTTGCTCTTGTCATTTTAGGAGGAATAATAACCTTTAAATAAACAATACCCCTAAAAACCTGACATTTCTGACATACTCTTTGACAGAACAGCTTTACTAACTTTACTGAGCATAAAACACGGATTTGCACATTTATTGTTGCTTTAGGGTTACCGTTTTTATAAGACATCTATCTGATCCATAGCAAAACTTCCTTGTTAGTACCATACAAATGTGTTTGTCTACTATGTTTAGATTTAGTTCTAATTTATTCATAAATGTATTTAAGCCTAGAGAAAAATATTTGTGATTAGATTATTAGGCCATGGTGATACATGCTATATGCATTACTTAAGCTGTGGGAGTAAAGCGATCAACCTCTATAACCACCTTAAAACACAGGTACAAATTTGCATTTTATGTAAAAATTCAGGCTTTATTTCTACTTATTCTTACACTGGTGGGAGCTGATGTCAGGAACTGAAAGGCAAGCACGAACTTTGTTTTCTACCTCTTAGCTGAACAATAATACACACAATGTGGCATTTTCATTAGGCAAGACTTGTTTTACATTTCACACCAGAATACATTACTCTTCTTGAATAAAATGACCTGGTTACTAAAGAAACCATCGGTGGAGGAAGTGTTTAATAAGCGAATTTTATTTAAATTAAATCCTCCAGCAGGAAGTGGAGAATTCATTGCCTTTACTTAGAAGAAGGCTGTGTAAGTAGTTATATGTCAGATTTGTGCAGCTCAGCAACATTTCCTTATTGGAAACATTATTTTTCCACATCACAGTTCCCAAAAAGACTTTAAAGTCTCAGAAGTCTGTATCTCCTTTGGCTTGCTTTTCTCTTGATTCCACCCAGGCTTTATTAATGGTTCGCTTCATATCATCATCTCCATCTTCATAAATTTTCTTTAGAACATTCATTAATCCCTCACTAGGATCTGTTTCAGTGTCATAGGAGGGCTTTCTATTAAAAAAAAAATACACAATGAAGAGTGGGGGAATATATATATAATTATGATATTTTATACCTTGTGATTACTAAGTAGAGAGAAACAAATGCGGCTGTAGGAAGTACATGAGATAAGAGTCAGACAGTATCCTAAAAGAAAGAATCAAAACATGCACAAATCTGTCTAAGACAATATACACCCACACTTAGCTCATCAAAGAATGGTCATTAAAAATGGTTAAGGGGTTGTTATCTTGGGACCCTGGCATTTTAGGTGAGTTTTAGCAGGAAAGGTAAGTAAATAATCATTTACCTGTCTGAGCTGTTTTAATGTTTTAAAACCATGTTTCCTCATGTAATTTGAAATTTTCATTGAGAGAAAAATAAACATACACTGTAACACATAGACACATACTGAAGCACATATATATTTTAATTAGAAAAGTGTTCCTCTTAAGACTGAAATACAGGCATCTTGAGCTTGGTGGTATAAAAGCACACCTGTAGTTCAATCAGTGTGCAACCTGGGCCCATTAACTTTTCCACTCACCTCATTAAGTGCCAGATTCTTGGGATACAGTAAGACAGGTTCCTATATTCAGGTGATCCATTCTAGATTTAAAATCAATTCCACGGATAATGCCTAACCTTAGCCAACCACAACCAAAATGCCCAGTGGCTATGGGAAGGGGGAGTGAGAGATGTGGATGGTTAATTGACTCAATGTAGTACATTACCCCTGCAGGAGAACAAGAGGAATGTTTGACCTAGAATGGAAGTAGCTCTGAATAAACATTTTTTTCAGAATAGCCATTACTAAGTAGGATAAAAATATTCTCTTTTTCACTCTATACCAGTGATGGTGGTGGTGGTGGTTTAGTCACTAAGTCATGTCTGACTCTTGCAACCCCATGGACTGTAGCCCGCCAGGCTCCTCTGTCCATGGAATTTTCCAGGCAAGGATACTGGAGTGGACTGCCATTTCCTTCTCCAGGGGATCTTCCCGACCCAGGAATCGAACCCAGGTCTCCTGCATTGCAGGCAGATTCTTTACCAGTGATAGTGAAATTCTAATTACATAGCAGAAACTTGTGGAACTCAAAAACTGTATATGGGTATCTGGGCTACTCTGTAACTACGGAAGTGCAATCTCCCAGAACTAGCAGAGTTATCTGTTTCTGCACCACAGCCCAGGGGTAAGAGCTGGCACAAAACCACCAACCACAAGTACAAAGACCTCCTTGAGAAGCAACCTGCCAGATGCATGCCCTCTTCTGGTGCCTTCTGACAAGCTGAAGCAGACGTGAGGTAACTGGGTTGGTTAGTCAGAGGACATTAGAAGGTAAGGAGTCAAATTATATAGACTGTAATACAAATATAACAAATTACAGACTATTATCAATGAAAATCTATAATCCTAGCAAAAAATAATTATAATTATCAAAGAAATGAAAACAGACTCACTCTTTCTCTTTGCATTCTTTTTCAACCTGAGTCAGGTAGTCCCACCGTGTGTTTTCTGCTTTCTTTCTACATAAGATAAGAACTGTATCTGTCTTGACCTAGGAAAAAAGTAGAAAACAGGTACAACTTAGAACACATGGTGATAAGCATGAATATTTAGAATATAATTATTTACTCAATTACTTGAGTTACTGTTATGTACATGACCTGTTTAGGTGTTAGTAATAGTTTTATAAATAGGCTGGAGTCTGAAGACTCATGGAGAAATGAAATCATACACAAGTGAAACTGGAATACCTTCAAACAGTAGATGCCATCAAAATAAAGAGGGTATTAATGGGACTGGGGAAGATTAAAGAGGGTATTAGTGGGAACTAAGGAAGGAACTTTACTCAGAAAGCCTTTCAGAGGTGAAATGAGCTGTGGCCCAAGATCCAGCAAAAGAGGGCCTTCCAGGTAGTTGACACAGCAAGGAGAAAGGTTCCAAGAAGGGATGATTTTGGTGTATTTTAAAATGAGGAGGAATGCTGGATTTTGATGACTGAAGGACAGAATAATATGTAGGAGCAGTCAGAGTCATGCAGAAAATCGTATCAGGCAGTACTGGTTAAGGAGTTTGGAAGGTGAGTATGCAAAAAGAGCAAGAATATACAACCCTTCCCACAAATATTCATACGACTGTCGGAGTTGTTTGAGTACTACCTTCAACTATGCCATCAGTGGACAAAGAAAGGAGCAGTGAGTCATAAGCTAATCATTAAACTATATTCTAATATTACCTTTCAGCTGCTACATAACTATATAAACATAGCAGAATGGCACATCTATATACCAGAGGCATTAAACTTCGTTTATTTAAATTAGGTAGAGAAGAGAGATTATATGAATCAGTGAAAATTATTTTCAAAGATACTTTATTTCCATTTTGTGAAACAAACTGCCATTGTACAAATGAGAAAACTGAGGTTCAAAGTGATGAAGTGAGCTGCCAAAGGTCACAGTAAGTGATAAACCTGGCATTAAAAACCAAGTCTCATTCTTAACTATTTTCTGTTTGTTCAATACCCTCCTGATTCTAATGCAGTATTCTTATAATCTACTTTTCTAGAGCAGGAGCTGGCAAACTTTTTCTGTGAAGAGCTACTAGATAAATTTAACATTTAAGGCTTTGTGGGCCACAGGGTGTGCTGTAGCTACTTAAACTTGTCACTGTCGTGCAAAAGCAGCCACAGACAACAAGTACACAGGTAAGCATGGGTATGTCCAAATAAAACTTTATTTAAAACACAAGCAGCAGGATAAGTTAATTCCAGTTCGTCTTCATTTCATGATTTCACAGTATTATGACCAAAAATGTAAACTTACCTTTTTTGAACTGCCTTCCACAGAGATGGGTTTCAAGAGATTGTTCACAATCATGGAGTAACTCTTTCCATTTAGGTTCTTTACCAAAAGATCAAATGACCTACAACACAATAGTGAGTACATTATCTTTCTGGTTCTATAAAAGGTGATAATCAGTTCCTGTAGGAAAAAAAGCCAGAGTTCTATTTTAGGATGTGCGTTTGGCCATCTCAGAGCAGAAGACTCAACTTTTAAAGCAGATGTAAAGGATAATTAATACTCAAGCAGAATTTTAGGCACTGCAAAGGAAAGGACCCATTATAAAGCAATCTTCTCCACTGTTGAGAACTCACCTCTCTGTGAAATTCACCTGCACACTCTCAGCAGGCACTTGATGAACTCCAGGTAAGGTAATGTAGATTTTCACAAACTTATCTGACTGGTCCCATCCTGGTAACAATAACAACAGAAAACAACAGGAGTAAAGCCTGATACTATCTCTGGAACAGCAAATGCATATAGCTCATTTAAAAAAATTCAGATAAAAATCTACTAATAGAAACATGAAATAAAAATTTAAGGATTTTTTTAGATGGAAAAATAGAGCTTCAAAGCAGCTAAGTAATCAACCCAAAGTTAGGCACCTAGCTAGTGATATATAACATGGACTCAAATCCAGATTTACTTGAACACAAAACCCGTGCTTTTTATTCCTTTGAATAAGGAATAGGATACTTTGACTATCTAATTTATTTAATTAACTATCTAGTTCATTTAACTATCTAATAAAATGTATTTACATTCCTGAAGAACAGCTCATTTCCCTGTTTTATGGAAATAATTTTGTTCTAAGTATTGATAATCTCCACTAAGCTAGAAGGCTAAACATCAGTTTTGTCTAATCAGTATTATCTAATTCCATAATCGTATCCACTTCTCTAAGCAGTTCAACAAATGCAATCCTAGCTTCCTCAATCCCTTTCCCTGATAAAGCAGAATATAAATTTAGAGTCAAATTCATCCAAATACACCAAATTTGACTAACCTAACAATATCTAAAATGTTATTTCAGTATATACTATCAAACTATTTAGTCTCTAACCTAGATGAATTGTTTACAGAAAACACACAAACATCACATAAAAAGCATGTTACATAACAAAATGTATTTTTATGTATTTATTGTATACTATATATATGACAGTTTCTTACCTGGTCCAGTAGAATAGAAATGCAGTGTTTTTTAAAAAAAAAATGTGCTAGAGGGTTCTGGAGAACTTCATTTAGTTTGTTCCCATCCATTCAACCCATCCTCCACACCGACAACAATTTCTCCCTAAACACAAACCTAGATTCCTAGTTAAGATGCCATAACCCTACCACCTTCAGGCCGGTTTTCTATAGTCAAAGAAGTACTTAGCATATTTCCCACAGTACTGCAACACATCACTTAAAACTGCTTTTTGCTATGACAATACTCAAAACACATGATGACCTTCATAGCTCTTTATGTCCTTTGCTCATAGAATTCTCTTTTCTTCACAATTGCTGAACCCACCTTTTAAACTGAGATGTTTCTTCTAATTCTCCCTGACTCTTACCTTCCAGCAGAGTTATTTTATCAGCTATAGTCTCATAATACTTTAAAGCTTTATTCGGTTAAGCACGTATTTATTAAGTACTTACTATGTGCTAGATATTGAGAGCACAAAGTAAAAAAGATTATCCGTGACTTCTTGAGAGCTCATTACTCAGACTTCAAGCTGTATTGCTTCCAAAATAAAGCCTACAGTCAACTGAGGAAAAATGGTATGACCTTGTTATGGTACCAGGTGTATGTCTATGTCCCAAACACACCATGAGCAGGGACTGGGACTTGTGAATACACAACAGTGAGCAAGACCAAGTACAATACAAGATACTAGATGCTCAGAAATGTTTTTTGAATTTAATTGGATTACCTTCCACAGTTAATATGGGTGGTTGTTTGGCAAAGTGAAATAGGAAACAGGAAGACAAAAAGCTGTCCACATATATGAAACTAGTCATCATCAAAAAATCTACAAACAAACAAACAAACAAAAAATCTAGAAACAACAAATGCTGGAGAAGCTAAGGAGAAAAGGGAACCCTCCTACACTATTGGTGGGAATGTAGTTGGTGTAGTCGCAATGGAGAACAGTCTGGGGGTTCCTTAAAGTAAAAACAGAATTACCGTATGATCCAGCAATCTCACTTCTGGGCATACACCCAGAGAAAACCATAATTCAAAAGATACATGCATCCCAATGTTCACTGATGCACTGTTTATAACAGCCAGGACATGGAAGGAACCTAGATATCCATCTAGAGGAATGAATAAAGAAGAGTGGTACATATATACAATGGAATATTACTCAGTATAAAAAGGAACAAAATTGTGCCATTTGCAGAGATGTGAATGGATCCAAAGATTGTCTTAGATGAAGTAAGTCAGCAAGAGAAAAACGGTATAGGTGAACTTATCTGCAAAGTAAAAATAAGACACACAAATAGAGAGAACAAACACAGATACCAAGGGTGAATGGGGTGGTGGTGGTGGAATGGATTGGGATTTACATATATACACGGCTGTGTATAAAACAGATAAAACTAATAAGGACTGACTGTACAGTACAGGGAACTCGACTCAGTGCTCTGTGGTGACCTAAATAGGAAGGAAATCCAAAAAGAGCAGACTTAAGCACACCCAGAGCCATTCACGGTGCTGTACAGCAGAAACTCCAACACTGTAAGGCAGCAATACCCCAGTAAAATAGATACACATGAAAACTCAGCAAATCTAAAGAAAAACGTATACACATACACACACACACGGAAGTTTTTTAAATACATAGCAAGCTAACATATATCAATGTATCACATTACTATTACCAATGAGTTGGAAATACTGAATGCTTACAATTTTATGGTAAAATAAACAAGTATTGAACAATGCTTACTTCAGTTTAAAACTACATGTGTTTTATTGGGACATGCAATATATCCCTTATAAAATATTGTTTTCTAAACAGTATTATGGTTATTACTGGAGTATCTCTGGGTAGTAGAATTACTATTATTTTCTCCATGTTTTTTCTATTATCCAAATTTTCTTTGATAAACACATACAGACACAAAGCTGAGTCCATACATACTGAATATATCTCAGAATAGGTTCCTTTTTAATCTCTTAAAAACCATCTTATTAAATAAGAGCTGATGGGTCCTCTATTTCAAATCACCAAAAACACTCAAAACTTTTCAAAAATGATTTTGTTAGTCTCTACTGAAGAACAGGCCTCCTCAGAGGCAGAAAGAGCTGGATGTGATGTGAGGGACAAGCCATACCGTAATTACTGATTTTCACTGTATATCCTGTTGTGATAGGAGCAACCACAGCAGCTGGCTTCTCATTTTCTGTAAGTTCTGCTTTCCTCTGTGATTTCTGCTGCATCTTATTCTTCATTTCTGTCTCAATCTTGGATTTTTCAGCTGTCAGGGCATCACGTACTCTCTTCCTGGTGGCTTTTTCCAGCAGTACCTTCACCTCTTCTAGATCTTTCTGGAGCTGTGTTAAAATAAAAGATAAATTAGATATGATAAACAAGATAATCTGATGTTATGCATATTGATCACTTCAACTCACTGAACTAAGAGCTAAGAATAAGAGACAGGGTCACTTAAATTTTCTAGGAATGGTAGCAACTAGGAGTCTTTCCTCCAGCCTACTGAATTATAAATAACTCAAGCTCCCTTTCTTTTAAAAAGGAAAACTTGGAATTAACAATAAGTAATCAAGCCAAATTTTTCCAGTTTGGTAGACTGTTTGCTATCTGCCTTTGTTTTAAAAAATTTACAAGATACGTTTGTGATTTATAAATATTTTCTGATAAGATGAATAAATTCAACAAAAAGGGATTCATGGATTTCATTGTAACATGCAGTCCTGTCATCAGATATTAGGAATTTTTTAAATATTAAAATAAATGAGTACCTGATAAGCATGGTGAAATGGTACAGCTACTTGACTGAGGTAATCCTCTACTTTCCAATAATGATTGGTCCTCAATGGTCTTCCCACCCCAAATAGTATAAATAGAAAAGTTTACTATTTTAAGACCAAAGATTAAAAAAAGACATATTTCTTCTAATTAGTTGCCTGATTCTAAAGTTCCTGGTTAATTTTACCATCAGAAGTCTGGGACTTTGTTGCACAATAGAGGGGAAAAACCTGGGCAAACAATCCAACACACTCCTGGATCACTGAAAATGCCACCTGTTTTTTCTTCTCACACCAATACATGGCCTACCCAAGCCTATTTCTATTTCTTTCTAAAGAGACCAAGACACTGTTAAAAAATTAACGAGCTTAAAAACTTTTTCCCACTTATCCTTTGACCTACTGCAAATGCACGAGATCTTTATAAACAAGGGATTCATTTTTGTTAAAATGACTTTACATTCTCACTTGATACTAGCAATTTGACAGGAAGACTGACATTATAGCCAGGATCATGTAAGGTTCAATGTAAAAATATTTAAATGCTTGATAACTTGGTATAATATCCAAAGTACAGCCTGAAAGTGTTTCTTACAAGTTTTAAAAAATGCAAAGACTTTCTGCATTTTTCTGTATGAATGCCTTTTACCTCAGGTCTTTTATCTCATTTAACTCAGATGCCCTTGTTTCACCTATCTGTAACTGCTAACATGGTATAAAAAGTCCAACTGTGCCCAGTCTCCTGTCCAAATTCTATCCCTGCCTCCCAAAACTCATGTTACTAAGACAAAAATTGCAAACTCATCTTTTAAGCATAGTACCAAGTTCCTTTTAGTTCAAATCAATCTTTTCTGTTATCATGGTTTTAAAAATTCACATTGTAATAACAAGATGACAAAAAAATTAAAATGCACGGTGAGTATACTGTTTTTAGAGTAAGGACTTAACAAATTAAAATGTACAGTCCAAACAAAAGAGGTTTTACTTCTTGACTGAAATAAGAATCCTTCTTCCAGAAGAAAAAGAAACTGAGAGTTATGCAAGAGATCCCTAAACCCTCTCTACAGCCAGTCTAACTCTATAGTACTACAAAAATAAGATATCCACTCAAAGTTTGAAGCAACTTACCTCAGGTCTGGTGAAGGTAATTCCTCAGTTCTCTGTTATCTGCAGAGATCTGACCAGTAAAATCAATCCCTTGGGACTTTTCCTGTAGACATACCTTAGATACAGCACTTCTTACCTAATGTGTCTAAGTATTCATTTGTTTTCCTTATGCAAAATCACATCTCCCTTTTATCCCTCTTCATAAACGTAGTCTTTTATTTCCAGATTCTTCACCATGAAGCGTTAAAACCAAAGTGCCTCAAAACAGGCAAAGGACTTGCACAGACATTTCTCCAAAGATACACAAATGGCCACCAAGCGCAGCAAAGGATGCTTAACATCATTAAGCAAACATAGTAAATCCACTTCACATCCACTAGGATGACTAACAACAAACTCCAAAGTGTTGTTGAGGATGTGCAGAAATTGAAACCTCCATACACTGTTTGTGGCAATGTAAAATGGTGCACTTTAGGAAGGAGTTCAGCAGTTTCTTAGTTATCATACGACCCTACAATTCCACTCCCAGATATATACCTAGAGATTTGAAAACCATATATCCACATAAAAAGCTGTACACAAGTATTCAGGGCAACAATGTTCTAGGGGCCCAGAGAGTGAAAATCATCCAAGTGTCTATCAATTTATGAAGAAAATGTGGTATAACCAAACAAAAGAATACTATTCAGCCATATAAAGAAATACATGCTTCACCAAGGAATGAATCTGAAAACAATATGCTAAGTAAAAGAAGCCAAAAAGCAAACGGTCACATATTGTAACATTCCACTTATATGAAATGCTTAGAATAGGTAAATCCATAGAGACACAACTAGACTGCTGGGTGCTGGCAGGGAGTAATGGGAAGTGACTGTCTAATGGCTGCTTGATAGATTTCTCTGAGGGTTGAAAAATTATAGTGTTGATGACTGCACAACACAGTGAACATACTAAAAAGCACTGCACTGTACACTTGAAAATGGTTAAAACCTGTGAATTTTATCTCAAACAAAACCAAAAATCCAAAATGTCCTTAAATGTATACATCGCAATTAAAAAGCTCCCTCCTTTGAAAATGACTAATACTGAACTATCCATATGTACGACTGTAAAGCCACTTCCTTATGGACCATAAAGAAGGCTGAGCACCGAAGCCTGTTGTGTTCCAACGATGGTGTTGGAGAAGAATCTTGAGTCCCTTGGACTGCAAGATCAAACCAGTCAATCCTAAAGAAAATCAATCCTGAATATTCACTGGAAGGACTGATGCTGAAGTTCCAATACTTTGGCCACCTGATGTGAAGAACTGACTCACTGGAAAAGACCCTGATGCTGGGAAAGACTGAGGGTAAGGAAAAGGGGACAACAGAAGACAAGATGGTTGGATGGCATCACCGACTCGATGGACATGAGTCTGAGCAAGCTCCAGCCAGTAGTTGGTGATGGACAGGGAAGCCTGGCATGCTGTAGTCCATGGGGTCGCAAAGAGTCGGACACGACTGAACAACAAAAAAGCCACTTCAGATACACTTTCCTCCGGGCACATGGTACCATCAGGCCTATATTTAACACATAACAAACTTGTGGCAAGTTATCTAGAATAACACACACATGCACGTTTTCTTCATTTAAAGCAAACTTTCAGAATCACGTTAAGTCAAGTGTGAGATTTCCCAGTCTTGCTCATATTAATCAGAAGATTTCCAAAGAACAAATCTAGTCAGTGGATACTCAACACTTTACCGTGAATAACAGTATTGACATCTTAAGTCAGTAAAAGAGCAATGCAAGTTTGATTCCCATTCTGTAACTGCGCAGTCACCAAAAAAGCTGCCTCTGTTCAGTTTACACGGCTTAGAAGAGAAAAAGCTATTTACCACTACCAAGTTACAACTAGCTTTCCAGTTTATTTTTTAAAACGTCTATAGCAGATTGCTGTTTTGCCAAGCACTGTTTTGAACATTTAGAACTCTTGGTCTTTATGACTCCATGAAATGGATACTACTGTGGCGCACAGAAGCACCATAACTTGTCCAAAGTGTGTGCAGAGAAAACATGACTAAGACATTTAAGTGCTAGGACCGAAAATCTCCCATTTCCAACCGCCCTCTACCATGGAACAACAGTTTTTGCATCAGCCGTAATTTAACGAAGCTTCACGTCCTCAGGCTAGTGTAACGCGAGCGGAGGAGCCTGAGAATAACGTGAAGGTGACCAGCCCTCAGGCCCACCACCGCACATACCTGCCACCGGGAACCACAACACATCTCCCGGTCACCCACACCGAGCCGGGGAGGCGTCGGAAAGCAACTTTCCGGGGGCAAGCGGAGGCCCCGAGGCCCGCAGCAGCCGGGTCGGCACCGAGGCCGCTTCGGTTGGGCGGGTGGGAGGCCAGGCGGGTAGGGCGGGAACCCGAGGACGCAGGCGGGCTGCCCGACTGGCAGGTGCCGCCGGCGGCCGAAGGGCAGCTCGGCACGGGAAACGGGCGGGAGACGGAGCGGAAAGCTCTAGCAAGGCCGAGGAGGAAAATAGGGCCGAACTCCTTACCTCTTCCAAAGCTGAAGACATGGTCGGGTTGCTTCAGGCAAGGCCCGGGCTGCAGCGGCGTAGGACGGAGAACGGGAAACGCCGCACCGAGCGCTCTCACCGCGAGCGCAGACAACACCGGCACGAGTAGCGGCGGACGTAGCTTGAGAGCACACCTGACCCTGCGCGAGATTTCGGCCCGCCTCCCGCACGCGGCGCCTCTGGAACCTTCGCGAGTCCTTCGCCACCGCCCAACCAGCCTCAAGCACCGCCTACCGGGCTCGGCTCCGCCTCGCCTCTCCTGGCCCCGCCCCACCCATCTCGTCTCTTAGCAACACTCAACTCTCGCGATCAAACCGACAGTTCGAGAAGAATAATGCCTCCACCTCCCAGCCCGGGAAACTGAGTATACTTTGACCCCGTTTGTCCCGCCCGCGCAGTCGCCGCTCCGAACTGCTGCCTTCCGTATGGTAATAACCATAACCCAACCCCGGAAATCTGCGGGGTCCAAACCGGAAATTGACGACAGAGTCGGTTGTTTCCGTGCGCTCTAGGACCCGGGGCCATGGAGGCGGCCATCTTGTGTAAGACTAATCTGTGAACTTGTACGAGGCCAAAAAAAAGGGGAGGAAAGGAAACCTATTTATGTTAAAGTGAGAAGGAACAAGAACGTTAACTGCAGAGTCCTGAAGAGAATAGTTTAATTTTTACTAGGTTCTGGTGCTCTGGAGACTTCACGACTTAGCGTGTACAACGTGGTTACCTCATCACGGACCGCGGACCCATTAGTGCGTCGGGGCAAGTAATATAGCGGCACCTGGAGACGTCACGATTTAGCGTTACGACGTGGTGACGTCACTACGGACCAGGCGAGGAGGAGGGGTTGCACTTGACCCGGACCCGCGGTCGCGGCTCGGAGAGTAGGGGTAGTAATATATGGGTGTCTCCTTAGGCCCAGCGTTTGCGGTCTCGCAACCCACTCCAGTATTCTTGCCTGGAAAACCCCGTGCACAGAGGAGCTTGGCGGGCTATAATAGTTCATGGGGTTGTAAAGAGTCGGACGTGACTGAGCGACTCTCTTTTTTTACCCCTTCCCTCCGTACACCGTGGAAGCGCTTCCGTGGAGCCCTCACCGACCATTCTGCGAATCTCTAGTTGTCACCCAGGTTTGGAGTCGGTTTTAGTGAGCCTGTAGACCACAGATATCGTCTTAGAGACTGAACAACATCGACCGTAGAAAATGTGAGCCAAGCTTTTCTGGGGATGCGTTCTGCTCTTGTTCTAGCTCCCGTTATCTCGCTTCCTAAGACCCTTAACTCTTTTCAGATTATTTTAGCTTTTGGCAGCCCGTCGAAAGCATAAACAATAACCCTTGAGAAGTCAAATAGCCTGCATTCAGCTTTATAAAGTCGTCCGAGGTAGAGCTTAGAAACAGCAAGTAAAAGGAGTATAAACAGCAGGCGGACCATTATCATGGTCAAGAATGTGAAGGGCAGTACAAAAACAAATTACAGGTATGCACAACGTGCACGAATTTCAAACCTGATGTTAAAGGTAAAGAAGCCAGGAGGAAGTCCTATCGTTTGGTTCCCTTTAAACGAAGTCTAAAACCATTAAAAATCCGGTTAGTCTTTCCTTAAGCGGGAGAGACAGTGACAGACAGGAACCACAAGGGGGCTTTTGCGGTTCAAACTATTTTGTTTTCTTGCTGTGGATGCTGGTTACAGATGTGTTCACATTGTAGAAATTTCATTGAACTGTAATTTGCGTTTTCTTTTGTGTGTTCTAATGAGCTGTAGCCCGCAAAACTCCCCTAACCGTGGAATTCTCCACGCGAGAATACTGGAGTAGATTGGTATTCCCTTCTCCGGGGGATCTTCCCGAACCAGGGATTGAACCCCAGGATCTCCTGCATTGCAGGCAGATTCTTTACTGTTTGATCCACTAGGGAAGCAATATAGTTAACTAAAAGCTGTATTTAACTAGGCCCAGGAGGGAATTTTCCCTGGATGATAGAAATGTTACACTGATACATGCCATTGTCAGAATTCATAGAACTAACTCCTAAGATCTGTGGGTTGGTTTGTTTAGTTATATCTCAAGTTCAAAAAAAAAAAGCGTCTAGGGAATTCCTTAGTGCCCAATAGTTAGGACTTGTCTTTCACTGCTGAGGCCTGGGTTCAATCCCTGGTCAGGGAACTAAGATCCCACAAGCCCTGAAGCACAGCCAAAACAAAAAAGTCTTAACTGGAAACCTGGAATTCTTTAGGTACTTTATTAAATAGGAATAAATATCCCATTTCACTGTGTGAGAAACTGACCTAACCCAGTGATTTTTAAATTTGCTCGATTATACACTTGGGGCAGATTCTCCCACCAGATAGCCTAAGGTCACAGTTTTAAATACCACCAGTTACCAGTGACTCTGCTCAGTTGCACCACTCCTCTGAGCTCCAGGCTCTGCCTCTGCTTGGATGTCTGATGAGCACATCAAATTCAGCTTATCTGAAAAACAAACCAACCAGGAAAAGAAAAAAAAAACACCTCCAGATTTCTCATCCTTACACCCCAGACCAGCTTTTCCAGTTATTCTCCAGCTCTGTAAAGGTCACCTCATTCTCTTTGTGGCTCAGGCCAAGGAGTCATACTTGAGTCTTCAGTTTCAGTCCTACATCCCCTCCTCTGCCAAGTCTTGGTGGCTTTCAAAGTATGTTGAGAAAAAAACCACTTCTCACAACCTCCACTGCTACCACCTAAGACCAAGGCAATGAGTATTTTGTCTGGACTGTTAGCCTCTTAGCTGGCTTCTCTGCTTTCCCACTGGGCCTTTACAGTTAGTTTTCCAGAGTAGCCAAGGTAATCTTTTCAAATGAATAAAATCCAAACTCCTTACACAACCTGGACTGTTCTACATGATCTTAAATTTCACCTTGGCGATCCCTTATCTGCCGGAACTCATCTCTCACCAGTCTCCCCTCTCCCTGATTACAACACTGGCATTTTTGTCACTCCTTGAATCCACTGAGTTTGTTCTCACCTCCAGGTCTGTGCTCTGTGCTTTCTTTCAGTCTGGAATGGTTTTCCTCCAGATCATCACATAGCTGTTTCTGTCTTCCTTTTCTGCCCGCGCTTAAAAACACCTTAGAATTTCCCATTTTTAACAGAAATTCAACGCTGCTTCTCTCCAGTTGTATCCTATAATTGTCCTTCCATGTATGATGTAGAAGCAAACTGACTCCTTGCACTGCTTCCATCAGGAGTTACTGGGTACATCAGATTCCCAAATCAAGGGGAAAAAAGTGAAGAACTTTGTATCCTAAGATAAAAGCAGACCATGATGGACACACACATCAGGGTCACGGTATCTAGTTCTAAACTCGAGAACCTGAGCCTTTCCTCTGAAATTAGACTCCCTAAAATCAAATGCTTTGTCTCTGATTTTTGCAATGCTGATGTCTAAAAATATGGATTGTAGTGTGAGAACCATGAACAAACTAATTATAGACTCTATCCTTGGAAATTGTGTAGTTTCTTCCTATAAATTCTTGCAATTTCTATTTGGCAAGCTTGTTCTTCTAAAGCCTGAACTTCCTCACAAACTTACTTTGCAATTAAACTTTCAAAAGATTTTATTCTGGACTTCCCTAGTGGTACAGCAGTTAAGACTTTGCCTTCCAATGCAGTGGGTGCAGGTTCAGTCCCTGGTAGGGGAGACTGAGATCCCAGGCCTCACAGCTGAAAAATAAAACATAAAACAGAAGCAGTATTGTAACAGATTCAATAAAGACTTTAGAAATGGTCCACATCAAAAAAATCTTAAAAGATTTTGCTCTGAGTGTCCCTTTGACAGTGCTCAAAAGTTTTGTTAAAAGCATAATTTCAAAAAGGTGAAATTGATTCTCATGCAAATAAAAAATGAATATTAACAAATACTTTATACAACTCATTGCATAAACCAGTGAGGGAACCAATACCTTGTTAAAACTGTCAAAAAGTGCATTTGCACAGCTAGGTATTTATAGACAAGTTAGCAATGGAATATTAGTGTAAGGTTGCAAAGTTAGACACAAACTACTTACTGTCCTACAGAGTAGTAGAACTATATCTTAACTTTTGGAGTCATCTATTCCACTGGAAAGAAAATGGGATTTGCGTCCTTCCTGGACAAAAACCTACAGGTTAACAGGTAACTTGAGTGTAGGACCTTTAATCAATAATGAACAGCGAGTTCCACTTACTTTTCATGACAGGACCATTCATGACCTTGTAACTGCCAAGCTCAGTAGATATTTTCTGGATAATTTGATGGTTTTACTTTTTATATAAAATTTCTCATTGTTTTAATTGCTACATGGGCCAAACAAAAGATGTCTGTAGTCAGGGTTCGGGGCACAAACTAATTTTACAATCTCTGATTATATTTTTTTAATACATGAATTCTAAGAGGAGCTGACTAATCTGGCTTTAAGTCGCTCAGTCGTGTCCAACTCTTTGCGACCCCATGGACTAGAGCCTACCAGGCTCCTCCATCCATGGAATTTTCCAGGCAAGAGTATTGGAGTGGGTTGCCATTTCCTTCTCCAGGGGATCTTCCCGACCCAGGGATTGAACCCGGGTCTCCCGCATTGCAGGCAGACGCTTTACCATCTGAGCCACCATTAAAGCCCCTCATTTGGCTCCAGGGACACCCAGAACAAAATGCAAATTAGAACCCAGTGCAGATCGCAATTTTCTGTACCCTGCCTCTACTTCAGCAGAGCCTACAGAGTTTTCAGAGTTCTGCCTGAATTACACGATGTCACCCACTGGATTGTACTCTGAAAGATGAGCAGCAGCCACCCAATCCAATATTAGCCAATCAGATTGTTGCAAGATTTTGAATTGGGACACTGAGATGCCAGTCCGTCTCTGCTGGCCACTTGAAGGGCATATAAACCTGGAGGTTACACAGTTTGAAGCAGAGAGTGCCTCCTTTCAGAGACAGCAGCAGCAGCAGCAAAGCGCCGCCTGTCAAGACAAGCAGGAGAGTGAATATGAGAGCAGTTGTTCACATTCCAGCCCCTTGGCCCTGCGCCGCTTCAGGCCCAACAGTCTGGCCTTTGGTTACGAGCTAGATATACTTTTTCCCTTTTAATGAGCTGCCTTATTATCATTAGGTTAGCTTGAGAGAGTTTGTTACTTGCAACCAAGGAATCCTTAGAGGCATGCAGGGCACTTCGCTGTGCCTCTGCACAGGATGTCGTCTTGCAGGGAATCACCCAGAGCAAACTCCTATTTATTTCTCCTTGCTGCAAGGACTAGAGTCTAGTACCAGATAAGAAGCTTTTCACCAACGCCAGGTTCAGATGATTCAGAATAAAGTCAACTAGAAAAAAATCAAAAAGACATAGATGGATTTTAGAACAAATGTTTATTACTGCTTAATGGGGCCAAAGGGGCAACACAAAGCATTGAGAACATCACTGGCTCACAAAAACAGTCACCTTGCTACCTTCTTGGTTGCATTTGTTTATTTCACAAGGCTTCATTCACACATGAAAACAAGATATTAATCCAATTCAAGTTCATAACAATTATAAAAGTAAACATTTGTTGGGACAATGTACAATAAATTGCACTTTTCTTAACAAGCATTACATTTACATTTATAGAGTGTACTATACATAATACATGGAATAATGGGAACATCTAATTGGTCAGTTGATAGAGGAGAGAGGCTGCTCACTAATTTCGTAGTCAATTAGCACTGTTTGAGCTAATCAACTCCTTTATTCTGGAACCTGTTTTCATTGGAGAAGCCATGGGCAAAATCATAGAATTCGTAAAAACAGATGGCATAGAATTTCTACTACCTCCTCAGCAAGGGAAAGGTAGGAGTTGAAAGAAATGAAGTGAGGCTGACTGAGAAACTTTCTTTCTTATATGAATTAAGGATCCATACATTATGCAGAACACCAAAAATAGAGAAACTGATGCAAAGGCTATTACGATCTTGGATTCTGGGACCAATTCCAGGCTTTATTCTTGTGCTTTCATGACACCAGAGTCTTGACGAATTTATGTCCTTGTCATTCAGTTTCCTATATTTTATTCCATATATAATATATAGTTATTAAAAGTTACATTTCAACAGAAAAGATTTTACATGTTAATTTATTGCCAATGAAAAATGAAAGTAACTTAAAATATTCATTTTCTACTCAATGATTCTTTTCTTAAAAAGTTTCCAGAATACCACTAATGAAAAACCAGGGGTGAAGGCAGGGAGAATGGGACACGCTGATGAAGATGTTTTTATAGCAGGGAGCAAACACACTTGTAGCTGAGCTTGACATGTAGTCTTTGAGATGGGAGCTAAGACAGGAATGTCTGACAGCTGACTGGTCACTAAGCTCCTCATAAACCTCCACTTTTCTCCTTACAACTCAAGGTGACCATTTCCGATCGAGGGGCAGCCCACACGCACAGTTTCATCTGGTCGCTCCTGAGAGAGAAGAAAATCACTAAGGGCTCTGCCTGTGTTACACGGAAGCCACGATGAGACAGGAAGATGTTCTGCAGCAGTTCCAGTTCAATGTGACCATCAGCATGGCAACTAGAGGGCAAGAGTTTTGTATCTGGTAGGAAACACAGGCCACCGAGCTGGGTGTGGCCTTCTGTATCTGATCACCATGTGCATGTTCAGTTGAACGGTACCAGGGTATACCAAAGAGGCAGGGATAAGCCGTATAAAATTATACCAATCACCAATCACACACACACAAATCTCACAGCATTCAAATCAAACAATAGTTTGTTCATGCTCTCGTTTACCTATACTTGAAGCAAGAGAAGAATTTTTTTTTAAGAGTAAGTTATACAACAGAATGATCTTACTAAGTAAAAGTGTTCTGTGCCAGAGAGAGAAAATATTCACTTTTTAAAAGCTTCTTTTTCCCTAACACAGTCATGAAATTGGACAACCACCTTACCAGAATAATTAGTAGACTGATCTCAACTAAAGAAAAAGAAAACTCAATCCCTTACATTAGTTACATATGTGATTCTTATCCTCAGAAATGAGTCCGTTCCTTTAAGGATCTCTCATCTCTTGTGCCCTAAATTGTGTATTTTCTTGTTTCTCTCACTTCAGCTAGGAAATGAAGCTACTAGTTATCAACTGGAAAGTATTTTAGGAAAATGGAATAAGGGTTTGAGAAACATAAATGTTAATACATAGTATAAGAGGATGAAAGTTTCAAAAACAATGAAACCAGATAAATACTATTAAATATCCCAACATCAGTACAAAGATTACATTTCTACTTTATTATGGAAATTTTAAGAAAGCCAATGAAGAACAAACCACAAACTAAATAGTTGGGATAGGGAGGGATGGAGAATTATTGGTTGCAGGGAAAGGTAGGCCATAGGCCTAAGTGACATTCCTATTAGTGTTTCTGATAGGCACTCATATACAGAACATTAGGTAACAGAATTTCTTTGCATTAAATTATATGGAATTAAATATATCCAAATTGTGCCATGGCTCAGGATGTGGGAAGCTACAAACATATGCAGTGAAAAATTCAACTTGGTTTCTTTCAGCTCTAAGGAATGTGTTAAGATTCTCAAGATATAAAAGCTAATGACTGAATTATCAAATTGAACTTCATTCTCTTATATTGAAGAATTTAATGAAAGGAGAACTCTTCAGAATGCTGCAAATGTTGGATTTTTGGAGGAATGTTTTATACAAGATGAAAAACTCTCTGAAATATTTGAAATTTTCCTGGATATTTGAGCTGGTCAACCTCTTTCTAAAATCAAAAGAAGATTATGAATTCTCAAATATACTTCGAGATAAATTAAAACTAGCAGATACTTAATGCTGGAATGCATGAAACAATATATGTTGAAAGGCATGTGGTTTGGGATAGTGCTATTGTAACATTGTATGAATAATATCATATACCAACTTTTGAATTTTCTTTCTTTCTGTATTTTCTATTGCTACTCAGCCATGGGCATTGTAGTGAGGGACAGTTTAGACTATAATACTAATACACATACCCAAGTATGATGTGGAACTGGAGGAGGAAGAAAAATCTATAGATGGCCATTATAATCTGTTAAAAGAGTTAAAATGCAACAGATTAAATGTTTACAATGTTTGTACCTGGTGATTTTGTTTAAAGAAGCAAATGTTAGGGGCTATAAAACTGAGCCAGGTCTACAGGTAAGAACTGAACCTACAGCTAGTTCTCTCTCAACTACCCTTTAAGGAAAAGTATGCAACTTAGGCATTCTGTGAAATGTAAAAAGAGCTCTGTACAGTAGAATTACGAGATTCACAAAACACAAAAGAACATCCTTAATTTAGCTAGCCATCTGATAAGGCAACTTGTACAAGGCTTCTTGGGATCAAAGCATAAAGTACCAGAAAAGCTAACAAATTTTACTAAATGATTTACAAAAACAAGTACCAAGATGCAATTTTCTAGCCATTATATTTTACAAAAAAAATATTAACTTTTCTAAACCACCACATAGGGAATGTTAAAGTCAACACAGATACTCAGAATGCTGAGTTATTTTCCTTTGGGGTGAAAGGAAATGAAAACTATGATGAAAGATGTCAGGACAGAAAAAAAAAAAATGGAATTCTGTAAGAAAAGTATTATTTGATGAGTGTAATGAAGGATAACAAACAACCACATCAATTTTATGGGCTATAGATGATACGAACACTTACCGATGAGGGGAACTTCACTTTTTAGAGTTTAATGATTATTTTAAAGGAGAGGATCCACCATGAATAACTTGTAGTGCATGCTCCTGGACTTGAGATGGCTCTTACATGATTTTTACTTCCAAGAGTGTGTTACTTTTAACTGCAACATATGGCACAGATGAGAGTCACTCTGCCACTACAGGGTTTAAGATCCTCTGCAAAGAATATGTTCAACAGTGAAGCCAAGGATGAGCATCAATAAATGTTACTGTACACAGACGACAGTAGTTTGGTTGACGTAAAAGGACCGAAGGCCTCCAAAACAGCTTAAAAAATGGGAAAACTGGTTTTTCCCTTACCAAAGGATTTCCTGCAAAGACTATTTATAAAGACATGTTAAATATAATTGAAAAAAATATTTCCATCAACTTTTACACAATAGCTTTGCCTTTCCATGAGATAAGTATTTCTATAAAGGTTTTATATGCACTTGAAAATGTTACAAATGCATCTGCATCTGTTCATCTAGGGGTACCAAGGGCACATTCTTAAGAAGCTACAGAACTCAGAAAAAGGGGCCTAGTATTAAATTAAGGTGATATGAAGCTGACCTCTATTTCCCATTTCATAACTTTAACAAACTTAGAGTATATTAGTGTTTCCTTCGCAAAGTATATGTCAACATTAAACAAATACTCTGTCCCTGGTTCTACATTCCATTCTAAGCACAGTAACTGTTCCTGGGCCTTTTCAGGCTTCTCTGGTAAAGGCCTCCTAAAGATGAAACTCATAATATCCACTTCTGACTTCACGTTTGCCAGATGGCACAACTGTATTCTTACTTAGGAACTTGTGATTCTCCTGTGGAATTCTGAAAAGGACCTGTTAGGAGACCAGGACCAAAGTGATTTATTTTATCCTGCATTTATAAAAACCTCAGTTCTTTTTTATCTAGTGTGTGTTCTCAATAGCCTATCTTATTCCATGGTTCTTGGCACTTAATTTCCAGATGTACCCCACAGAAAATAAAAATAAACTAATTCTCTTTGGGAACTGTCCGACCCCAGATCTGTTCTTTCCTTCGGATAGGTTTACTGCTGTCCAGGGAATCACTTTCAAGAGGAAACCTGACGGTCATGGCTGGCCCCACAGCGTGCTTTATCTGAATAAGTCCTGAAAAGTTACGAGGTTTTGGTTTCAATCTTTTTTTTTTTTGCTGTGACAAATATCTTCCTATCAATTCAACCTTGAAATAAAAGACATCTCCATTTTCATGTAAGATAAAAATAATTATGAATAATTAGTTCTAAATAAAAAGCATTTAGCTCTGAATTACTTATTTCCAACCAGACATCAGGCATATAAAATAATGTGTAATAATACTATGATGGATCGGAACACGGCCTTCCATGAAGCACAAACACAGGTATTCAACATAAATCAGGTTAGTTTAAGTAACACCCCTTTGAAAAGTGTCATTCGAGAAAGATTGAGAGCTACTGAAAGATCCTGGCTTGCTTTCTGGCCTCCTTCCCTTCCTTTCAAAGGGACACCAGGACTCTTCCTGGGTTTCCGTCGCTTTGATCGTTGTGCTCCTGTGCTTGGGTGAGGCTGGAACTATGTGCTCTCCTTGGGGGGCTGGGTGGCCTGTGGCGGCTGCAGTGGCTGCGTGCCCGTGGCCGTTTTGATAGAGTTCAGGGTTTTGCTAAACCAAGAGTTCTTTGCAGCTTGGATTTCATTCATAAGGGCTCCTCTCTGATGTTCAAGTTCCTAATTAAAGAAAGAAAGTCATCTGAGTTAGATAAATGTTTTCTCTCCACCAAAAACAAAATCAGACTGCAGCTTTTTGGAATCCACATGGCCGTAGTTTGCATCCTACACACCCAGGTGAGATTTAGTTCGCTTCTGAATGCAAGAAAAAACAACGGGGAGCTAAAAGAGTTACCACTAAAACCCAGAATCTGTGCTTTCTCTGATCCTTGACAGGAAACCTCATTTTACCCTTTCCTCCCCCTTGCAATTTAGGTCCAATTTAGGCTGCAACCTGAGAGAAGATGTTTAAAACCACAGGTAAACATAAGCATATGGATGGAAAGAAGTTTTACTGATAGTGTGAGCACGAATGAGTTCTGGGTCCCAACACATGGCCTTGGCCCTGAGAATGTATGAGGTCTGGTGCAGAAAGTTCAGCATCATTAGTGTGGTGCAGCAGATGCCATGGCAGGACACAGTGAGGGTGAGGATCTCTGGAAGAAGGAAATGGGAACAGTCCATCAGAAGCCAGGACTGTTTTCCTAATTCTGGTATCCTCCAAACTGGAATGAGATTATGGGGAAAGGGATTTGGCAAAATCAGGTAAAGATGAAAAGGGACTCCAAAGAAAAGAATGGCCGTCAGCCAACATTCAATTGTTAGGGCAAGGATGGCAGGAGGGGTGTGGCTTTTCAACTCTAAGCATCAGCTAGGTGACCAAGTTCAATGAGAAAGGAGCATGGCAAAAAAAATCTCAGGTTAAACTAAAAAGGCATATGCTTAAGTTCCCATAAAGTGGGAGGGAGGTGGTGTGTGTGGGGGTGTGTGTGTGTGTGTGGTGTGAAATTTAATTATTAAAAATTTATTTAAAACTATGTGTTTATTTTTGTTTCGTTGCTCAGTTATGTCCGACTCTTTGCAACCCCACAGACAGCTAAGCTTCCCTGTCCTTCACTGTCTCCTAGAGTTTGCTCAAACTCATATCCATTGAGTTGGTGATGCCATCCAACCATCTCATCCTCTGTTGTCCCCTTCTCCTCCTGTCCTCAATCTTTCCCAGCATCAGGGTCTTTTCCAATGAGTTGGCTCTTTGCATCAGGTGGCCAAAGTATTAGAGCTTCAGTTTCAGCATCAGTCCTTCCAATGAATATTCAGGGTTGATTTCCTTTAGGATTGACTGGTTTATATCAGTGTTTAAAAGTGACGTAAAATACAACTCATGAGTGGGCAGAAAATATATTCATCATATATGGTATGAATCGTGAAACATTCCATGATTCTGAGCTTGATGGGTATACTCTACCATCCTAGAATATCCTGGCCCACTGACTTTAATTTTTCTTCTTATCGGTCTTTTATCAAATCACCAACCTGGATTTTACACTTGGCCTCCACCAGCTGCAGTTTGGTCTGTGCCAATTCCAGCTCCATCTCCCTCAGCTGCTTCTTAAGAGAGTCCTTCTCGTCATCCGATTCCATCCCCTGGTCCTCTCTGCTTATGGCTGCTACTTTCAAAGCACCCTCCTTGCTGAAAATGTCACTGCAGTGTTTACAGGCCATCATTTTACCCTGAAATACCCAAAAGATAACCAGTATCAAACTGTATTTCATAGCATATATCATGTCCTGAGACACTGTGATACGATATTTCTTTAGACACTGCTTCTGGTCATCAAATGAAGGCCCATTTATGAAAGTATTTTTCTTGGGCTATGACCAAAATGGTTATAATCAGCACAAAACCCAACTATCGAAGATAGGTGCTACTTTTTCTTCAAGTGTCTATAGAAAAAGTCTGGAGATAGGAAGTGTTACAGCATTTTCTTGAATGTGTTCTAGAAATTTTATTCTACCATTATCCTTACTGGATGCCAAGCCCATGGGATATACTCTACGTGCATTAATTACCTCATTTAACCCTAGAGCTACCATATGATTAGGTACTATTATCATCCCCATCTACAAATGAAGAAGCTTAAAGAGTACAAGTAAACTTGCCTATGGCAGACAAGGAAGGTCATTATGAGTAACCTAAGTCTACCCGAGCAACAAACAAGTATTGGGTTGGCCAAAAAGTTCGTTTGGGTTATTCCATAAGATGGTATAGAAGTACCTGAATGAATTTTTTGGCCAACTCAAGATACGTCCTTTTGTTCAACTTTAAGGAAAGATGGTCATTATTGTTTAAGGTGATAAAAGTCATTGGGTTACATGCCTGGATTGTCAATCAAGCAGAGAGCACTGAACACTAGCAACAACAGAACTGCTGTTTTCTTAAAATATCTTCAAAAAATTTAGAGATAAGGGATATTATAGAACATTTCTATTTTGATGCCCGACTGTTACAAGCTCAGCATGTCCTTAGCCATAACCATGCTCCTCTCTTCACACATACACAAAATAGCCATGCTCACACTTCTGTGTCACTGCATGACCCCACCATGTAGGCCTAAAGGCTTTGGTATCATCTTTTCATTAGCTGCTTCTTCATTCCACTGGTCATTACATTCTTTCTCTGGTATGTCCAAGCATGTCTCCCAGGCCCAAAGCCCCAAAAGTCACCTTCCCAGAGCAAGGTTCAGATTTTTCAGTTCTCATGTCTCAGATTTTCAGGTTATAACTTATAAAATATGTATTTTTTGAGCATTTATTGTGTGCCAAGTTCCAGACCAAGCACTTTCTATACATCATCTTATTTAATCTTCAAAATGACCTTATGAGGTAGGTAATACCTCTAGTTTATGGAGCACAAAATAAAGCTGTGCTTAGTTGCTCAGTCGTAGCCAACTTTGCAACCACAAGGACTGCAGCCCACCAGGCTCCTCTGTCCATGGGGATTCTCCAGGCAAGAGTACTGGAGTGGGCTGCCATGCCCTCCTCCAGGGGATCTTTGTAACCAGGGATCAAACCCACATCTCCCGCATTGCAGGTGGATTCTTTACCATCTGAGTTGAGGTTAAATAACTTGTCAAGTTGTTAAATGATATGCGAAAGTGCCTAGAATGAATTTATATACTAGCACTGTATAAACCTGAATATATTCAAATTGAATTGCATCAGGTTTCTCTAACACTGGTCCCAAGAGTGGGCTGTGCCAACACTGCTGCTTAAAGAATACCAATCCACTTGGTTTATTTCTGGTTCTGTAGAATAAGCTATCACTTTTTTCAAACAGAAAAGAAACACAAGTAGTTCTACCACGAGGGGGCAGCATATAAATAAGTGTGACTCTGACCCCATGGACTGTAGCCCACCAGGCTCCTCTGTCCATGGAATTCTCCAGGCAAGAGTCCTGGAGTGGGCTGCCATTCCCTTCCCCGAGGGAACCTTCCTGACCCAGGGATTAGAACTCAGGTCTCCTGCACTGCGGGCAGATTCTTCACGGAGCCACCAGGGAAGCCCTGTAAGTGCTTCAGGTTTTCCTTGCATCTCTAAAGCACTGGTGGAAGAATCCACCTCCGGCTGAGTTCTACACTGCCCACGGTGTCTCCTGTTTAGCAGAGTGACGGGATGGTCCTGCTGGGCCGCACACTGACGTCACATCAATGCAGGCACAGTTGGGAGGGTTCCCAGGTTGCCAACACGCAAGAGAGCTCAGGGGCCTCGTGTGCCAAGGCTGAAATCTAGCCTCTTTTCCTGTTACCTTTCTCTGACAGCCCACAAAGGTTATGGGCTTTCGGCTGGCCCACATCCCAGTCCAAAGGTGAATCCTATTCTCCATAATCCCTAAACCCTTTGTAACAAAGGTGGGGTGGGGACTGTATTTACAGGCTGTCCTGCCTGTGGTGTGTCATCATATACTGGGATCAGGTGCTCACTTAAGATGACATGAACTGGGAAGACACTGCATCACAGAACCGTCCCATTCTTCCTCACCTTTACCACTTCCAGCTCCTCCTTGCTGGCTGCTTGCTGTTTCTCCAGTCGGGTACTCAACTGGGAACAGATCTAAGAGAAAGAAAAGAGCTGCTTTATTAGAAAGGAGAACAACTCATGTAGCATGTGCACATAGCTGTTTATTCACTCTAGCATCTCTGACACTAGAAGAAATTTTGCAAATTTGCCAGTCATTCCCACAAGGAGCAGCAGAAAGCCTAAGCCTGTTCTGTGTGTAAAGCACATTTCTATCTCAGTCAGTAGAAAAAAACACGGGATAAGTTTGATTTATGTCTGTCACTAGTTTTCGTGACTGGTTCCAGAGAATTCCTGTCCTCACTTTGGAATCAATCTGTAGAATCATGCTGACTGTCTACTTTGGGCAAGGTACTATCCTAGGAATCTGATGAAAAGAATTCTGAATCAAAGATGTCTCCTGTCTGCTGCAACACAAAGAGTTTCTGTTTTCAATCACAAAAGTTTCTTTAGGAAGTGGCAGAGTGAATTTTTTAAAAGTTAAAATCACCAGAAAGTAATAGAGACTTAAAACTTGAAACAAGAGGTTTGGCAACATAGCATAAAATGAAATGCCTGGAAGTCTAGCTCTACGACTTCCTAGCACAGTGTCCTTGGGTATATTCACTCATCTTTCTAAGCCTCAGTTTCTTCATGACTGAAAAGTACTGTGCTGTCATAATCACTGGGAAAGAAAATGTACATAAAGGGTTTAGTATAGGACGATTAAATAACATCTCATTATTCTGATTCTGAAACAAGGTGCAAACAAGCACAGGGAACAGAGAGAAATAAGTGCTTTCAAAGTCCCCCAAATTATATGTGTGTGTGTGTGCATGCACGTGCATGCGTGTGTATGTGTATATACACTGAGAGAGACTGAGCACAGAGATATATATATATATCATGTCTGACTCTTTGCGGCCCCATGGACTGTAGCCCGCCAGGCTCCTCTGTCCATGGAATTTTCCAGGCAAGAATACTGGACTGGGTTCCTCCTCCAGGGGATCTGCCCAATCCAGGGATTGAAACTGTGTCTCTTGCATCTCCTGCATTGACAGGTGGATTCTTTATCACTGTGTCACCTAGAAAGCCCTATATATACTATATATATAAAACTGGAAGGTCAAGTCTTACTAAGCCTGAGTGAAGTAAGAATCTTTTATTTTGGGAAAAAAATGGAATAAAACATTTAGGGGATGTCAAATTTTCAAATGCAATCTGGACTAAACACATAAAAGGTCTACCTCTATTATCAAAACCGACACTTAAAAAAATCCCAGTCTATAGTTTCAGAGATCAGAACTTGTTGAGTTCAGTCTCTAGTTTCTCCAGATCCAGGCCTGGAAACAATACGCAGGACTATGCTGGCTGACGTTAAAAGGAAGCAATCTCTCTAGCAATTCTGGCAAACCATAAACCATTTTAAATAAGCCCAAACCTTCTGAAATATAGCCAATAGTAGCCAATTCCAACTACAGAATGCATTTGGATTATATGTTTAATTATCTTCAAAGAGATGGGTCTGTTGCTTAAAGTGCTTGCCAGATAATATTCAAGAATCATCCCAAGGACTGCTCTTTGAAAAGTGCTGCATGTGGAGGCCACCTATGGCCTAATGTGACGGAAAAAATGCATCAGCAGTGATGACAAGCACATGGTCTTTGATGATCCTCGTACTGCTTAATGTCTAACCAGTCCTTCTCCTAGTTATCCAAATCCAACATTTCCTTGTTAACTCTCTTGCATTTCTTGTTTCTCCATTGTCACTACTGTTTGTTGCTGTCCGGGACCCGTTTTGTCTCAGTTGGCCTCTCACTGCTCTGTGCCTTTCTTTGCCTGTGCATCTCTCCCCTGGTTTCCACATCTCTCCCTGCGACTGAGTAATTCCAGTTCCATGTTCCCAGTCATGCCACTGTCCTGCTACAAACAGAATGAAATCCAAACTCCTCAGCCTGTCCCTGAAGACCTTTCTTGATCTTGGCCCCTGCTCATCTTTGCTTTTCTTGCCTACTTGAAACCCTTGCTAAACAAAACTGTCACTAATCAACCTCCCATGCCTTTGCACACGCTTTTTCAACCTTTCCAACATTTCCAGCCTTTCCTTCTCTATCTCCAGATGCCTGAACCTCACCTTATCTTTGAAGCACAACTCAAATCACTCCCTTCTCCAGGAAGGGATTCCTCATCTCCCATACATAATTCTCTCGCCTCTTAATTATGGCTAAGTTTTACCTATTACAAGCTTAGCTTCCAGAGAAGAAAAACTGGATCATACCTCTAAAGTATCAAACCTCACATGCAGCAGGCATTAAATAAACATATTTTGATTATATATATGTATAGATAAATAAGCATATAAACATAAAACAGAGTAAGATAGATTTGAAGCCTTAGTTCTAAGGAATCTTCTACAAAAGGGGAGAATCCTTGTGGAAAGATAGTCATAACAACAAATGAACTAGTTTTCCTCCAAAAGCATGAACAATATTACTGACATTTTTATTTATATATCAATAGCAACAAAGCATACTCAGTGTATTAAGTGATTCTTTCTAGTTGGAAAGATTAAGGAAGGTTTGTTTTCTTTGTGTTTTTCTGCACTTCCACAAGGGACATACATTTTATTTACAAGCAAAAAACCTCTTTTTAAAAAAGTTAAGACTTAGACTTCCAACTCTTTTGTGAAACAGGAGACCCTAGGGAAATTTCTGGGTAAGTAGGTGGCATATGGTGCCTTAATAATTTGAGAAAGCTGAACTTGAACAGTCTAGTCAGGGTCTTATGACAACAAGCAGATTCCTGGCTGTGCCCCAGCCTAACCAGCAGGGACCACTGGAGCTGGAATGGAGGCTTTCTGAGACCCTGTCTGGTGATGAGACCAGAAACATCCTCAAGGAGACTAGCCCCCCCACCACCCACCATTAAAACATCTTTTTTTTTTTTTTTAAAACATCATTTTAAGGTTCATAAGAGGTTTCCTGCTAGGCACTAGCCTCTGTTGGGAAAGGCCACATGGGCATGTGCGGACAAGAGCTCCCGTGTTCTCTACTGTGATAGCAAAGGACGCGCAGATCTCCTAGCTGTACAAGTGCTAAATTCTAGTGCTTGGCAAGTGTGATCTATTGGAAATTAGCTTCTGAGTAAGGCAGAGACAGGATCCCAATGGTAATAAGATTTCTCATTCCTCTAAATCTATCAAACATTGAAAACAACCAACAGATTGTTTTGCTCAATTAAACTTCCCATGTTATCAGCAAGCATGTCTAACCACTGTCTGTTTCAGAGGAGAAAATGAGCCAACAAATATAATCCGTGCAGTGCAGCAACTATTCTGGAAACTCTAAAAACAAACAAAATTTCCTCAAAGATAAGAGCGAAACAAATACTTCTACAGCGATGAAGCCCACGGGGGCACATTACCTGTTTATACTCGGCAATGATAGCTGTAGTCTTCTTGATTTCATATTCCGCCTTCTCTAGCTGTTTCCTGAAGACTTCTTTTAGCTATAAAGAGTAAGAATGAGAAACATCAAGACTCAGTCAAAATCTTTACACATTTCCACCAATATCCATATTCAAGTCTGCCTGATTCCAAGTCAACAACGATGTAAACAACTGTCGAATAAGGGTCCATTCAGAAGCTATCTTTATTCTCATAAGTCTAAAACAAAAAACACCAAGGCAAACACTGCATGTGCTCTCGATGCTCTGACACAGACTACTGAAAAAACATTTTAGGCCTTCTTTCTCATCTCATATTGACTCTCTTGTTACCTCTCTGGAGGAAGGAACAAGAGGCTTTTGGGACTGGAGCCAGATATAGAGGTGCAGACTAAAGAAACACTGACTTTAGAAGTTAAAGTGACATAGGATGCAGTACTTGTTACAGTCACAGAAATACTAAATTATGAATGCTGAACCTGAAACCACAGTTATTTCTATAGCTTGGCAGCTCAAGAAGAAGGTTAGAGCAATGAAAAGGCTTAGATGTTACCAGATAAAAGGGAAAGAATTCAATTCTCCCAAGATGACCAAACAAAACCCAACCCTGGTTAATCTGCAAGTACACAATCAGAAAACAATTGATGAATTCTGCTTTGCAGCATCCCAAAATATGAATGGAGGATACTCAGTACTTCCAAATTCACAAGTTATTGAATTGATAGCTGCACTTCTCATTAGAAGATTTGGGAGTTTCTTCATATTTGCTACATTCTAAAATTTTAAGAGCATTTGCAGGTTATACTAATTCAAACTTATTTGTTTTTATTGGTCTCTGTTCTTTATCTTCCATAATTCAAGGACATCAACCATGCCCTTTGTCCCTTCTGCCATAAGGCTCCACTGACTCAGGGTCAACTTAGGTAGCTGAGAGGCTTTGAGTAAGTTCACTCAGTTTCTCTAAGTTGTAGTTAACTCATTTGACAAATGAGAATAATCTCTATCTCACAAGGGAACCATAATTAAAATAGGATACACACACACACAAAGGGAAAATCATGGATTAAATTCCTTTGTTAATAGCTTTATTCTTTACCTAAAGTACTGAAGTGGGCCCTCAAAAAGCAGGAAATAAAGAAAAGAGTAAAACCCATCAAAATGCCAAGATCAAACCAGATAATCAGCCCCTGAATATTTTTGATTACATTAAAAAAAAAATTCCTGGTCCACTGTAATTGCCAAAACATTTCATTATTTAGGGGAGAAAAATGAAAATCATGGAATACTTTTTATAAATTCTGGAAGATGCTAAATAACACATCCCTGCATTAGTAACTTTACTGGAACTTTTGCTGGTTGCTTGGAAGGAGGTCTTTGAGATGCTTTGTGTTCTGTTTTATATTTAGGATTATTGATGTCTCTGAATGAGACTCATTAAAATAATTGAGCTAATCGTGCCTGGCTGGGACAGAGATGGAGACCACTGGCGAAGCAGCCGCTCTTCCTCAGGGAAGCCGGAAGCTCTGCCTCCAGCTGTCACGGTCACCTCCGGGGCTCCTTGGCAAAGCATGTCTTCCAGCTGATCACCCTCACCGCTCACACGAAGGCAGGAGGGAGCTAACTTCAAGGCTGGTTCCCAAAGGGTTTCTTTCTAGTCCCTCAGAGAATACAATTTGAGAGTTCTGCCAGGAACAGAAATGTTGGTGCTCCTTCTTCAAAGTCATCAATCCAGAAAATGAAGCGTGACTGATGGAGGCAAATCTCAGCAGAGATCTCTGTAGGCACCTGGCTTAACGACCCTCATAAATGACTTCAGAGAAGTCAGTCATCTTGGAGATGCGACATGAAATTTACAGATTTTCACAGCTCTTGGGTCATGATTCCAAGTTCTTAAACTCCGAGAAGACTTCACGCTCTTGCTAGACATCTCAGTGAAGGCAAATTCCTGAAAGCTGTTCCAGGGTGGAAATGCTGCCACCTCTCCTAACACCCTTCAGGAGAAATGACTCAGTGCTACTCACATGCACCGCTTCAGCACCAGCCTTGATTTAGAACAAATTTAACTTTACTTCCTATTTAACTGATGCTGGGAAAGATTGAAGGCAGGAGGAGAAGGGGACAACAGAGGATGAGATGGTTGGATGGCATCACCGACTCAATGGACATGAATTTGAGCAAGCTCTGAGAGATGGTGAAGGACAGGGAAGCCTGGCATGCTGCAGTCCATGGGGTCGCAAAGAGTTGGACACGACTGAGCGACTGAACAACAACAACTTTACTTCTTGTTTATAGTATTAATCAAGCCCAGGAACCAATGCACCTGCATGAAGACCAGTTACCCATCCCCCACATGCCTGTTACCTGAGCCGTCTCTTCCTCCTGCTTCCTCTTCTCTTCTTCGGTCTCCACCAGCCTCTGTTTGGTCAAGAGAAGCTCCTTATTCAGCACGTCTGCCTTGTCTTCTGCCTGCAAATCAGAGCACATTAGTCATGAGGAAGGTGAAGAAAGCATGTACATACTTTATGGAGCAACACCCCCGGAGGCCTTTCTTCCCCTCTGGCTCACCCAGGGGTAGGGGGTAGAGGTGGTTGCTTTCAAGGAATGCCAACTAGCTATCGCATGCTCAGCATACGTTATCTCTAATCCTCACAGCAAAAATTATTTTCCAGGTAATGACAGCAAGATTTGAAGAGATCAAATAACTGGACTAGGACACACATCTAAGATCAGAGTCACAGTCTGAATCCGGATGTGAATGGCATGGAAGGCTATGCTCCTTCTAAGTGTTTCTTCCACATTTTCAGCAGCCACAACAGCACAGACTCTGAGGCTATGGTAGGACAGAATGAAGGGCTGGCGCCTCCCTGGGAAGCTTCTACCTGGTGATGTGTGGGGCGGAGCCAGAGAAGAGGAACAGACAGGCTGATCCGTGAACCACAGTTAGGTGAGAAAGTTTAAAGATCAGCTGAGGGAACCTGGCCCACCAGGCTACTCACAACAGCAGTGAATACAGTAAGGAGAAATGAAGACCAAAAACTCATAACAGGGACAGCCCAAGGGCAAACTGAAGTAAGGACCAGGAATCCAGGCACACAAGACCGTATTTCTAGAACAGACAAGAAAACTCAGAGAGAGTGCTCTGCTCTTAATTTGCATACAGAGCCAAAATTCACTGTGGAAGCAGTGTGTGTATGTACATTTAACTTAGTTAACGTGTGTCTGCCTGCGTTACACATTAGGGCCCTTACCTCACCCTTTAGGTCTTGGCTTCAAGCTCACTTCTGCAGCACAGGGTGGCCTCAGCCCTGTCCTACTTAGCCCATCCGAATCAGTTCCCCACCCGCATCTAAACTCGTATTTCCCCTGGGAGCACTTGCCCCGATCTAGACTGACAAACTGTGTGTGTGATGTGTGTGCCTTGCCCACTTGGCTGCAAGCTCTAGGAGGCAGGAACCCTCTTTCCTGCGCTCATCACTGTACCCCCAGCACCAAGCCCAGGACCGAACAGAGCTCATGCTCTGTAAGTGTTTACTGAGTGGATGGACGTGGTTCTCTGAGTTATCAGAGAAGCAGACTTGGGGAAGGCGGCCACAGGATGAGTTCAGCAGAGAAAACGACAGACACTGAATACAGGCAGCTCTTTGCAGAAGCCATCCCTGGCTGACAGCAGCAAAACACTGTCTAAGACATTGTGAAAACTGGCCAGGTGGCCCTCTGTCTGTGTTTCGCCGCATCTCCCACATGTCCAGATGGCCGGGCCAGCGCAGTCTGCTGGGTCCTGGCAGAGAAACTCCCTTCCAGCATCTCGGTTCTGTCTTCCAGTTCCTGATGTCCCCACAGCCCAGGGCTCAGAGCTGTTTTCAGATAACTTGGAACTGCCGGGTAGTTAAAGTGAAAAATTCCCTTCTGAAGACTCTGAAATTTGTTCTGATACATTAGATTTCAGGAAGAAAATCTACACGGCAAAAAACACATCCTAAAAGGAGAGGTGGGCCTCAAAAAAAGCAACATGTATACTGCAAGTTAAGTTTTAATAAATTGTAAGATACTAGATGATTGATACTGACTATGGACACTCAAAACTGAGAATTCTAGAGCTGCAAACCAGATGACAAGTGACCCAAAAAGTGGGAGATGCTCCCCAAAGTCTCTAATGAAGGGTCTCCCAGTGGCAAATCAAGAGCTTGCATCGGTGGATGCGCCTCTAATTCCCCGAGAGTTTGGTTCAACTATCCTTCAGTTGTTCCACTATGGCATTAGCCTTTGAAAATATTTTTAAGTAAAAAAATTCAATTTTCTAGTGGAAAAAAAAATGAGGTCCTGATGGCTTCAGTGTTTAAGTGAAAGTGTTAGTGGCTCAGTTGTGCCCAACTCTTTGCAACCCCGTGAACTCTAGCCCGCCAGGCTCCTCTGTCCGTGGGAATTCTCCAGGCAAGGATACTGGAGTGGGTTGCCAGTTCCTTCTTCAGGGAATCTTACCGACCAGGGATCGAACCCAGGTCTCCCACACTGCAAGCAGGTTCTTTACCCTCTGAGCCACCAGGGAAGCAAAAATCGTATCAGACCTGTCTCCCTAGGATGGCTGCCCACTGGTTACGGTTCTACCCCAGAATCTCTGAGTGACAGCCTTGCTAATAAAGACGACTGCACTTTAACTTCCTCTTACTGCACCGCCAGCAGGTTCCATTTTGTAAAGAGAATGGTCCTTTTAATAGCACATATCACGACACTCTGAAACAAATGTTTTCTAAGTTTGGTTTCTCGAAGGAAGATTCACTCAAACTGTGAGCCTTCTGTAAACCTCTGAAGAGTCAATGCTATCCTGACATTTAGCACCAAGCTTCTGAAATTCTGCAGCATATCTAAATGTTTACAATTTTGGAAATATCTATAAGAAAAGGGAAAAAAATCCACTTCCTTGAGGAAATTTTTAATAAACACTTAGATACGTATGAGGTGACGGCCTATCATTTTTATGTACACATAAACTGTACACTGCTGCACGTTCTTCATGAGGCCAAGGTCAGGTGACCTCACTCTATTTCTGTTCTCAGATCTGACACCTGTAGGAGTTGCTCTGGGTCTCACATGGGAAAAGTCCCTGGAAGCTGCATCCAGAGTTTCTCCTTCAAGCTTGACAGTGAAGTAGGGGTGATTCTGCTCATCAAAATACAACCAGATCTGAATTAACGTCCTCCTCCTTCTAAAAACAGTCTTCTGAGTCTCTGTACAGCCAACTTCTATACCCTGCTTAAGTAAAAACCATCTTTAACTTTAAAAGCATCTCCAGGAACAGAATACTAAACAGACAGATATTCAAATTCTATCTTTGTGCCCAAATGATAAAACCTTCACCATAGTTTGATAAGACTGAGTGGACACTTGTCATTATCATCTTCTAAACATGTACCAACGTCTCATAATGCCTTATTGATATGAAACCTTCTGAAAGTGTTAGTCTCTTGGTCATGTCCGACTACTTGTGTCTCCATGAAGTATAGCCTGCCACGCTCCTCTGTCCATGGGATTCTCCAGGCAGGAATACTGGAGTGGGTTGCCATGCCCTCCTCCAGGGAATCTTTCCACCCCAGGGACCAAACCTAGGTCTCCTGCATTGCAGGCAGATTATTTACCATGTAAGCCTTCTAATTGTTATCTAACTTCTATGACATATAATATGCAGGTCAGGAAGCAACAGTTAGAACTGGACATGGAACAGCAGACTGGTTCCAAATCGGGAAAGGAGTACATCAAGGCTGTATATTGTCAATCTGCTTATTTAACTTATATGCAGAGTGCATCATGAGAAACGCTGGGCTGGATAAAGCACAAGCTGGAGTCAAGAGTGCTGGAAGAAATGTCAATAACCTCAGGTATGCAGATGACACCACCCTTATGGCAGAAAGTGAAGAACTAAAGAGCCTCTTGATGAAAATTAAAGAGGAGAGTGAAGAAGTTGTCTTAAAACCCAGCATTCAGAAAACTAAGATCATGGCATCCGGTCCCATCACTTCATGGCAAACAGACAGGGAAAGAATGGAAACAGTGACAGACTTTATTTTTTTGGGCTCCAAAATCACTGCAGATGGTGACTACAGCCATGAAATTAAAAGACGCTTGCTCCTTGGAAGAAAAGTTATGACCAACCTAGATAGCATATTAAAAAGCAGAGACATTACTTTGCCAACAAACGTCCATCTAGTCAAAGCTATAGTTTTTCCAGTAGTCATGTATGGATGTGAGAGTTGGACCATAAAGAAAGTTGAGCACTGAAGAATTGATGCTTTTGAACTATGGCATTAGAGAAGACTCTTGAGACTCCCTTGGACAGCAAGGAGGTCAAACCAGTCCATCCTAAAGGAAATCAGTCCTGAATATTCAATGAAGGGACTGATGTGGAAGCTGAAACTCCAATACATTGGTCACCAGATGTGAAGAACTGACTCATTTGAAAAGACCCTGATGCTGGGAAAGATTGAAGGCAGGAGGAGAAGGCGACAATAGAGGTTGAGATGGTTAGATGGCATCACCGACTCAATGGACATGAGTTTGAGTCAACTCCGGGAATTGGTGATGGACAGGGAGGCCTGGTATGCTGAGTTCATGGGGTTGCAGAATCGGACACAACCTGAGCGACTGATCTGAACTGAATTGATGACATATAAATGAGAGACACAGGCACTTGATCTGTGATTACAACATGAACCAAGTTCTCAGTAGGCTCCGCTCTAACATTAGGGATGGGGCTCTTTAAAAAATGATTTCTCAAAAAAAAAAAAAAGATTTCTCAAAGGACTAACCAAGGCAACTGTTTAGTTGAAAACAGAACAAAAGAATGTGTCACTTGTGACATGCAGTGTCTGATTCAACACAAACTCCTGTGATCAGAAGGGACCTGGGCCCAGTCTGCACTGGGAAAGCACTGGTTGTGTCTCTTGTTTTTGTTCCTTGGGAACAGAAAGAACAGGAAGGGCCTGAAAGCAGGTAACCAAAATTGAACTGGAGATGCATCTTCTTTTCATTTCTGATCACTGAGAAGTCCTTACTGAAGGGGTCCAGAGGATCCGGGGCAAGTTGTCAAAAGAGAAGGCTCTGTCAGAGAGAAACATGAAGAGCTGCTGGTGCCCAGGAAGCCTGAAGCCAGCTCTAAAATGACATGGGTAGGAAAGAATGTGTTTTTTTTTTTAAGTACATGATTACCTAATTAGTGTTTGTTTGGTTTACATATTGTCTCAAATACAATCTGCTTTCATGCTTGTTTAATGTTTACCAATGTTCTTCTATCTGAATCAAGAGATTTGATTTTGATTAAGCTGGGAATGAAAAAGTACTGGGCAAACTGGGTAAAAGCAGGCAAAGCCTCAAGCTAATGCCCTTCCTCGAAGTCTGGAGGGGCCAGGTACCTAAACTGCAGGGACACCTTTTGATATAAACCCCACTCGGTCAGAAACTGCAAGATCAGATTT